CCCCCGCTCCGGCCCGGCGCACCCCTGCAGCGGCCTCCTGATTTGGGTTGTAAGGTTTCTTTTCTATGACCTGCCCCTGCCTTGTCCCTTTCTCCCTCCTGGCCTTGAGACAGGTGGGGAAAAGCGCTGCCCACCCAGCACCCCCAGGGCCTGCGTCCCACCACACACACACACTCGACTGTTGCGGACACCCCCAGCGCCTGTCTCCGGCTTCCCCTCGCCAGCGGATCCGGACCTCCAGATGCCTACCAATCTAGTCGCTGACTTGATTCTCATTTCTAGTCCTCGTTTTCGTTGGCAACCCACTGGACCCCGGGACCCCGGGACCCCGGGAAGCGCGGACGCCCAGGAGCACACGGTCTGGGGAAGAGGGGAGGAAGGCGGGCTGGGAGGGTGGGAAATTTTTGTTTTGTAGAGAACTATTTTTGTTTGTATGAACTGTCCCCTGTAAGGAGGGACCCATGGGTGGGGACGCCGGTCACCACGGGGCAGTGATGGTATATAACCTGAGAGTAAAGGCTCTATTCATTGCTGTCGCCAGCCTGTTTTCCTCTCGGTGTTCATGGACACTGGGAAATGTGGGCCTTAGAGAGGGACCCACAAAATAGCGCTAAAGAAACGCTGTGTCAGAAGGGCCACCCCTCCCTTCAGGAGGTGTTCCTGTGAGTTGAAGCAGGCAGCACTCTTGCTCCAGGGCTTGCCTAGCCAGCCTGTCTAGACCCAGCCAGCGCTGGCCCTGCTGGTGGCCCAAATGTTGCCTCCTCTCATGATAAAAGATGCGGACTTCGTTGGCACTTCCCGGTGGCCGTCCGTGCAGGGCATTCATGTCCAGGAGGAAAATGAATTCAAGAACATTCGAAGAGAGGTCATTGCTGTTGCTCGGATTTAGGAATCTGTCTTAGTGGCTACCTACGATGGACGTGTCATCTCAGCCCTGCTGGCCCCTGAGCCTCAAGTCTAATATCAGGCTACTACATGAATCATCTCAAGTCCAATAGCAGGCTACACAATATCAGCCTCCAAGTCCACTGGGAGGCTGTCTACAGCATCAACCTCAGATGCAATAGCAGGCTGTACAGTGTCAGCTTCAAGCCCAACATCAGGCCTCAAGTTTAAGATCAAATTCTCCCTTTGTATTTCCGCTGCTGCTCTCTCCTCTGGTGGCCCAAGATCCCCAAGGTAGGTGCAGGTCAGAAGAGGTGAACCATCAGACCACTGCCCTGACCCCTTGCCCTTCTGAAGATCAGGACAGGGAAGGGAGCTGCGAGTGGAAGGTCCTGGGACTCTGAGGTTCACCCACCGAGGCACTTTGCTAGGTGTCCGTCCCAGGGTGCCTCTCTCCAGCCCCACGTAGTGTCTCCAGACCGTGGGACACACCTCCCCCTGCTGGACTTTGAGAAGTTGGGGTTCTCACCTGTTCAATTCTGAGCCTGTTCTACCATGCCTGAGTCCCCCCTTCACCCCACACCTCCTGCTCCCACTGCATCACCTTGTACTGGTGTCTGCCAGCCGCAGACACTCTGCCAGCTGGGAAGTTTAGACCTCGGTCACTCTTGCAAGTCCCCAGAGTCAAATTAAAATGATTTTTAAAAACTCCACACACACGCACACACACCCCTGTGTTAGTCCGGGTGGACTGGAGAAATAAATTCATAGACACACATATGTGTATAAGGAAGTATACAAGAGCAACTGAACATTGAGAAAACATCCCAACCCAGTCCAGTCCAAGGCCATAAGTC